CAGGGTGGTTCTTCACCTCGCTTCTGCGCACCCTCAGACCAACTCCCCCAGTTGCCTCTGAGGCAAGTCACTGCCTTTTCTCAGTCGTGACATGTAAGTTGATGTAGACGTGTGTGGCACATGCGCACAGCACCCTCAGGGGTGTGCAAACGCACCGGCTGCATCTGTATCCCTCACTTTCCTTTTCAAGAAAGCAGATTGAAGTATGGAAGTGACGTCATTTTAGGACTCACCCACTATTAGGCATAAAATACTATTTGCATACTATGTTTTTGAGAGATTGTTAGGAAGAGTCCACGATGTCATGACAGCTTAGCGTCACATGTGTATACAGCAGCTCCCCAGGTGAGATCACAGGTGTATAGCATGTAGTCCAACCTCCTCAGGTGATAGCCAAGGCCACTTCGTACCTCTCCCTAACTGTGAAGTTACCCTTCTGCTTGTCTCATCTGGACGTGGTATCCGCAGTCTGATGACTGGGCTTGTCCTTGTTTCTGAGTTCCTGTTCTCCAAATTGGGTACTGTCCCTGAGCTCAGACTGTGCCCTGATCTTCCAGGGCCTCCCTCCCCCCTGGACTGAGGCCCCTCTCTCTAAACTTCAAAGCTGCTATTTGGGGCCATACTGACCACACTGGGCATCTGTGATGCCGTGTCTCCTTTCCCCAACTTCCCAGCACTGCCTTTCCCTTCTGAATACGACCTCAGCCCACCCACCACGATGCTGTCTCCAGGTCTCAGGTCTCCTGTTGCTTAAAGCTTTCACTGACTTGGAGTGAAATACCTGGATTCCTCTGACTCTGTTCTCTGCCCTCAGGCGGAACCCCTTCTGTGGGTACCTGTGATCACCTTGCTCTGTCTGTGGCAACCCTGGCCCCTCCTCTGTTCATCTGTATGGTTATACTGCATCAGGCAGGCAAGTTGGTGCTCTACATTATACACCAGCCACAGATGGAATCTGAAGACTTCACATCTACCCTGTGGTTGTTGAAGGGTCACTGAATCTCAGCTGTGAAGAGGGTGGTCTGGACTCAGACTGCCTGGGAATAATAGTAGACTCTACTTCACAGGGCTGTGGTGAGGATTAAATGGGAAAGTATTTGCAAAGTGTTTAGCTTAAAACCCATTACACAGCAAGCTCTTAAGAAATGTTAGCAGTTACTGTCAATATTATTACTTTTATTACTATCAGTACTTTTGTCAGTGGGGCCAGATCTCAGTTGCTCATTAATTTCAGCAATAAACCCTTCTAATTCTTGGGTCTGCACTAGACAAACAGTCACGAATGGGCTGAGAGCAGCCAGTGCACACAGGTGTTTCTGGGCTTGTAGTAAAGCATCATTTCTATGGGGAGGGCCAAGCTTCCCAGAAGAGATTTATTTTTAATTTATTGGTAGCAAGAATGAGAGGCAACAAAGAAGAAAAAGTAGATGATCTAAGGCAGGCGTCCTCAAACTATGGCCTGCAGGCCACATGTGGCCCACCGAGGACATTTATCTGGTCCAATGGATTTTTTTGTCACTGCTGTCTGTCCTGCTTAGCAGCCGACTTGTCCCAGGGCCTGCAGTCCGGCCCTCCAAGGGTCTGAGGGACAGTGAACTTGCCCCCTGTTTAAAAAGTTTGAGGACCCCTGATCTAAAGAGTAAGGGGAAGAATGGAAGAAGGTAGAGCTGATCAGAAAGAAGGCAAAAGAAGGTGAGAAAGAAATACTAAAGAAAGACAAGAATATGTTACTGCAATGGCCAGATGTAGGCAGTGGATAAATAACTACAAAGGCATGTACAATCTTAGAAAAGGTCAACCAAGAGCCAGGCTCCATGGCTCATGCCTGTAATCCTAGCGCTCTGGGAGGCTGAGGTGGGAGGATCACTTAAGGTTAGGAGTTTGAGATCAGCCTGAGCAAGAGCATGACCCAGTT